TTAAATAATACACAAAATTACTCTTTCAAGGTACTGTATTGCACTGTGTACGTGATTTTGGGACCTTCCACAATTTGGGTTTTAAGTGTATTTGTGGTTTAATGTACCTATACTTTATTAGGTAATTATATAGGACTAACCCGCGGGCGAAATTGATCGAAAACAATTATAAAAACGCTGGATTTTCATTGGTATATTATAGTAGACACTTGTAGTTTGTGGAAATATGTTAAAAAAATGATATTTTTAAAATAAACGCCACTTAACGTTTGTGGTTATGAAGAACAGACCTAACCTTCGCTAACTTCCCTGGTGGTATATTATACAGAAAGAACTTACTATGACATGGTGAAATTTAAAGCATTTCTGGACGTGAGATGATATGGCCAAAATGGGACTATGCAGCCCGGCGGGTTAGTCCTATATATTAATCCTTTATTATTTTCAACGATCAATTTATAGTATCACACCGATCTTTATTTCGTTATTAAAAATAGATTTTCCATATGTATTTTGATGAGTTTCGAACAAATTTGATATTCATTTTCACCGGAAATCATTTTTTTTTAAGACCCCCCTCCCCAACAATCATAATGGAAAAAGTTTGATTTATTTTTTTAGAATAAATAACATTATAGTACCAACCAACCAAGAAAATCTAACCTAACCCGTTGTTCATGCCCCAGACGCTTAAAGAACGAAGACGGAGGCCTGGAGCGCTGCACGAGCAGGGGGTCAGACCACCTCTACCATAGGTAAACAAATCATGGCGACACTTATGACTGAGCAAAAGTAATAATCTTGAAAAATTAATATCGGTTATCCTTAATTTCTGGTGGAAATATCATAGAAGAAAAATGTCTTGGAATTGTGTAAACATTATGAGATACATACTTTTAATAAGGAAATAAAGACTGGTGTGATACTATAAATTCAACTTGTTAACTTCTGACCACTCTCACACATCACCTCTAATGTGACCTGATTCATGGAGCCTCCTGACCACATTATAAATTAAGTAAATCACAAGTAGAACAATTATGAAAATATTCAGCTTCTGAAGTCACACTAAAAATGGTAAATTGACTGATTAACACCCAAATCCCTTTGAAGCTTAAAATTTAGGTATTTGTATAGTAGTTCACACAACATTCATACCCCTAATATTTTATTATATTCGAAAAAGACGTCTAATTTTAAGATAATTTTCTTCGATTACATAACCGTCGGAAACGTATAATATAATAATGGAGATAGCGCATGCTAAATCTTTCTCTTGTTTAATTCTATTAATCTTCCCTTCATAAATTGTCAAACGTGTACGTTTCCGTACACATCACACGGCCAATCAAAAGCGTTCTTTTGTTTGACACCAATTAAAATGAATTGTGGTTTCTGCTTTTAATATTTGTGGTATTTTTTGCCCAATCAGATTCGATTGTGATTTTGGGTTTCTCATGCTTCGAAATTCATGTAGGTGGTCCACCTCTCCACCTCCCAAGCCTACTCGAATTTTGAATTCTAATTTGGAATAAGATAAGAAATAACAGCGATTCCCTCACATGGTGAATCTGGTTACGTAAAAACACCGTGAGTTAGGTGAGGTTAGTTTAGGTTTAGTCAGGTTAGGTCATCCCAAAAAGGTTAGGTTTATATGCTTGGCCATTTTTCGTTAACCACTCATCACCTTTTTACCATTTTTTCTCTTACCATTTAATAGATCTTGTCGAGAAACGAAAGACAATACTTGAGTTTAGCGAGACATTCCAAAAATAAACGCGATATTTGCGATATATTTGTTGTAATGATCACGAATTTTTCTCAAAGTCCCAATTTGATGTTATGACCATCGGGGGATCCCCCCGGCTAAGTAGGATGTGGCCTGTTAGGTTTGGTTAGGTCAGGTTAGGTTAGGACGTAAACCTAGTTTAGTTTTAACCTTTTTTCCCATGAAAAATATATTTTTTCGTTAGTGTTCTTGGTGATTTGACATTTTTGGTGAAAATCACTCATTTTCACATTTTCAGCCCCCAATGCATTCCCAGTATGGCCCCCTACATTGTTTGGGTTGGGAATAAAAAAAAAAATTATTTGCCTCAAAGATAAATGTCAGAATCATCTAAGACAGCAAAATAGCAAAAAAAATAATTTTTCATTTGATCAGAGGTGATGAGAGGTTAATGAAAAATTTCAATATTTTTTTCTAGTGTTTTTTGGTGTGTTTTGTATTCACTTGGTCATGATTTTTGTCTGAAAACACTTGTTTCTCTCCGTAATTGCCAAATTTTTGTCTGACTGGTAGTCAGAACACCGTTATAAAACAGACTTTGCAAACCCAGTTCAATTTCACAGTGTTGCTGTGAAAAGTACTTTCGTAGAAAGATGTTTATAGAAAAAAGTACAATAGTGTACTGGGTTTAATCTTGGCATTTTCAAGCCAAATTCCTTTATAAGCATTAGAACTGTAGCACAAGACCGACAACAACCTTCACACGCCATGCTGAAAATGAAACTGGCGTGGGAATGAGAGGCAAGCGCATGGCCACATTACCGCCAGGAGGACAAAGTAGTGCACCTAAGGTGCTTTAGTGTGATTCATTTGATTCTAACTACCATTTCTGTCGGAAATCATTTTTAGTTATGACCCCCCTAACCTAACCTAATTGAGAATTAACCATTGTTCTGCCTTCCCTTTACTCTGATGAAGGCCTGGGCTGAGGTTGAGGATTGTTTCATCTTCAGAGACAGGGATAGGAGGTTGCTGTCACTGGTCGGTTGCCTTCCAAAATAATAGCTTTGAAAAAAATCAGTATTTCGATACATAAGTCTTTATTATGCATTGGACATTTAGGGGGAGACCTGGGCAAAACACAGTGCTCAGGAAGAAAGTCTAAAGGCCTGTCGTTATTCTCATAGAACTCGGAAATGGCAGCAAAATACTTTACATAGGAACATGGCTGGCCAAGGACTGACTTTTCAAAATAAAATCTGCCCGGATGTCGTCTCAAGGAAGACGATGATTGACTGGTTTTTAATATTCTTAATTCATTGGCTGCAGTTCCATGCATCTGCTAACCCACGCTCTCTGGACACCAGCTTTGTGACCAACCAAAATAATTACTTTAAAGAATCAATATTAAATTCCAATGGATTTTTATAGAAGAAAACTTGCTTTGAATTGCATAAGGTACCGTAAGTGGTAGGGCCATTAGTATTGTTGTGCATGAGTTGGGTGTTAATATCTGAGAAAAATACCCTAAAAATATAGGGTAACGGGTTTCTTGAAATTTGGCTAAACTTCACAGCTGACTCATTACTTGGTTTGATGTTTATATTCGTAATATATTTTCATTAGTGAGTTCTGATGTAATAATCTTTTTTATAAATTGCTTTGTTTGGTAGATAATTAGGCGACTATAGTCCATTTTTTCTCAACTGAGAAAAGATATCCCCCTTCTCTAGAATAACAGCTGATTGGCGGTTTCAAACCTGTCCAATTTTGTCCTGAAGTAATGATGTATTTCTAAATGAGTTTATTCATAATCGTTGGGATGACCGTTTAGCGAGAAGATATTTAGCTAAATTGTATGAAGATACATACATTCATTAGTGACGTGGATGATGAGCTGGTCGAGTTGGGCTCTGCATCTTCAGGGGATGAAATGCCCAACTAAAGTTGAGCAAAAATTAATTTTTGATAGAATAAAATACCGTATATATGGTATAGTTCGAGTTTTTAGGACCAAATTTGTAGGCAAAAAATTGGGGGTCGTCCTATACATGCGTAATAGTTTTGTTGGGTTGAACCCGTGCATGATGGGAAAGGCGAACAACTTTAGCTTCAGACAAATGTTTACCATTTACTGCCAGTAAACAATGTTAAAATATGTACCAATTAGTAATGAAAAGTTGTGCAGTTCCTTCAGCAGATGAAGCTCACCAACTTACAATAGGCTAATTACTAGCGCTTTCAGCAGTCTATGTTGAAGTTCTTACACAGGCTAACTTATCTTATCATATACGGTATCACAGTTCTCATTGATCTACAAAAATACCGGTAATAAAAACCTTTTTCATTTTCACACTTAATATAATAACCCGGTAATCTACTTCAACCTCCTATTGTTTACAACGACGCATCCGCATCACCAGCTGTTGAGTGTATCAGCTACACAGTACACGTGTTTTTTGAATCGTTTTCAGTTAAAAAACTGTTACATCACATGTATATTTTACCTTAACTGTGCCTGAATGAATATATACTCGGAAATAAATAGTAGTTTTGCTGAAACGTGATGTATTTTAATGTAAAATAGGAAAAAATACATGACAAGAACAAAAGATTTTTCCTAACATTCCGATGTTCAAGAAAAGTTGCTCGTTTTTTTATAGCTTTTGGTGAAAATATTGTTATATTACAATGGTATTCTATTCATACTGTGCTTGATATAATGCATTCACGGAAATGTAATATTTTTGCTGAAATGAAGTACATATTACAGTGGAAAGTGGGATAAAATCGTGACAAAAACAATGACTTTTGCTTTCTTTCGTTCAGATGTTACCGTAATCGCCGAATGGTTTTCAGTTAAAAACTGTTGTATTACAATAATATTCTATCCTAATTGACTTGAATAAATACTATGATACTGTAGTGACGGTCTACCCTACAAACCGCGATCGCATTCCAATGTGCCGCCTTCCTAGAACCAACCAGATGTTACCGTATCTTAAGCAACGAACTAATCGCTACTTCTGGTTTTCCCAACGTGACTCATAGAGGACTGGCTGCTGCTGGGGTATATAAGCTCTGTCTCTCCATTGAGATTCATTCTGACCATTCTTCCTAAACAAGCAACATCTCCTCCAGCAAGCTCCACGCTGTTAACATTTCAATCAACCAGGAGGCCAGCAACAGGCAACACCTTCTCTAACGGCTCCTGCACATCTACCTCCTTCAACACGATAATCTCAACGTTTACTGAGCTGTTCTCACCACACGGCATCTCCAGCACCAGACTGTCTATCATATAACTTATATATATTATACAGTGACTCGGTTAACGAACTCAATCCGCTCCAGAAAGTCGTTCGTTAACCGAAAAAGTTCACAATCAAACCATTGTTTCAATGGGTTTTGGGTAATTGGTTCCAGCTCACCAAAAATTTCTAAATTCAACAAAATGGTAGAAAAGTTCACTTACTTTGTGTATGTAGAAGGCTCCTGGATGATGATGATGATGACGGGAATTACAATGGGGGTGGAGGAGAAGGAAGAGAAGGCATTGGGTGGAAGAGAAGTCACCCCATGGCACCATTTCACCCATAAAATTTTAGTTCTCTTGGTGTATTTCAAGATTATTTTCTTTAAATCAACACTGTACTGCATTTTATATTGTCAATATGTAAAATATATTTCAAAATGACCAATAATTTGCTTGGAAACACAGAAAAAGCATTTAGTTGAAGAGAGTCTCAAGCAAGATGTTACCTCCAGTGAAAACAGAGAGACTAACGCCTGTTTGCTGTGTTAGAGAGCTGGATGCTGCGCTTTAAACTAGTCACTTTACCTTCAATTATGTTCAATAATTGTTAAAATGACTAAAAATTGAATATTAAACTTTTAAAATTATTGAATAGTATAAACCTCTTGATATTTACTAAAATAGTTGGAATTTAAGCCCGAACCGATTAATGTATTGGCGGACTGATACTAAAGCTGGTTGCCCGGCCAGTGAAACATGTTGAGTCGGTTAAATGAAATTCGTTAACCGAATTTTTTTTCGTTAACCGAATTGAAGATCCTTATGGAAGGCAGTTCGTTAACCGAAATTTCGTTAACCGAGGTGTTCGTTAAACGAGGGGTCACTGTATAAGAAAACCACATTAGCGTTTCCTTCCATCCTGAGTGCTGAACAACTTTAATATCTCGATACCCCTACAATACCATATTTCGGAATATTTTCATTAAAATCCATCAAAATCATTTTCCTTGTCATCGTCTGCAGCACCAAACAGCTTCTCCCAGTCCTCTCCTTGATCAGGGCGAGAGGGTACGTGTTTTTCTAATCGTTTTCAGTTAAAAAACTATTACATCACACGTATATTTTACCTAACCTGTGCCTGAATGAATATATTCTCGGAAATAAATAGTAGTTTTGCTGAAGCGTGATGTATTTCAATGTAAAATAGGATAAAATACATGGCGAAAACAAAAGACTTTACCTAAGCTTCCGATGTTCTTGAGATGTTACTCTTTTTTTAATAGTTTTCTGTTAAAATTCTGTTATATTACAATGATATTCTATTCATACTGTGCTTGATATAATGCATTCACGGAACTGTAATATTTTTGCTAAAATTACGTCGTATTACAGTGGAAAGTGGGATAAAATAAGTAAAAACAATGATTCGCTTTCTTTAGTTCAAAGATGTTACCGTAATCGCTTTTTGAATGGTTTAGTTAAAAAACTGTTGCATTACAATAATATTCCTCCTAATTGACTTGAATAAATACTTGAATGGAAATATACAATATTTTTGTTGAAACTACCGCGTTCTGTGTAAAGTGGTGTAAAGTGTCGTTGTCGTAATAATAAATGGTAAACAATTTGCCTTCGCACTTTCGGTGTTTTAGAACACGGCTGACAGCAGTTTATAGGGCGTGGGCGTTTTTACTGAAGGTTTTGTTGTTCCATACCCTCAAGCGTGGGTGGAAGCCTATAAGCGAGGAATATCATAAATTAAATTTCTTGGTCAAAAATCAGGGTCGACCTATAAGCGAGGGGGGTTATAGACGAGAATATACGGTAATTAAAAAATAAGTTGGTAGGAAAGTGAAAGTGACTGGTGAGTCAGACGACAGCGAGGCGGTATGTGCGACCACCCTCTCACATCAGCTGCTCGCTTGTAAACAGACCATTTCGTGTCCCTTAATTTTAGCTGTGTTGATTTACGAGTGTTTGTTTTAGCATATTACTGCAAAAAACAATGTTTTGTTTATTCTAGGAGATGGGCTGAGATGCATTTGGGTAGACTCTCAGTCATTTTAGTATTTTGTGTTTCTCTCAAGTACCAAACTAAATTATTCCATTGAAACAAAACTTCAATTTAGTGCGAATTCGGTTTAAAGCGACCTCTCTTGGAACGTATCTCATGTTATATCGACGTTCTACTGTATAACTAATTTTTCTCAGAATTTTTAAATAAATTCCGAGAGTATAGCAGACCTGAATTATCAAATGCCGAGTTGTCCAGGTTTTACTGTAATGTCATGTTGAACCTTTCTTGTGCTGTATGCCAGCAAGTGTGATATTGTGAATGTTTTCATATAATGGTAGATGTTTGAAATGTGTTGCAGATGGGGCTTTGACTTGTATCCAGAGCGACGGGGAGCGAAATACCAGCCATCCTTTACCAAGATTGCCCTTCTGGGAGAAGGCAGGGAGAACATAGACAAGATAAAGTGTGAGAAAAATGTATGGGGTTGTGTACAAAACAGTAAGTATAATCAACACTAATGTTGTGGGAGAGTTTCATATAGCTTCAAGATGACCTGTACTGTACTGTACAATCCTTACTAATATACATTTATTGCAAAGTTCCACAATACAGTAAATACAACATTAGTTTTGACCTAGTACAGTTGCAAGGCATAGCTTTACTGAATATACTGTACTCCTTTCAGTAATGGAATACTGTACAGTAAAACCTCGATAAATCGGACTTCAATATACTGTACGTATTGGAATTTGCTTTTTTGGGGACTCTGAGATGCTCTGGTCACCAGAAATACAAAAAAAATATATACTTGTTTTAAGAAATGGGGAAGATTAATAAAAACCTCTTAATAAATGAACCACACTTACTGAATACTGTACAGTGGTGTAATAGATTTGTTATAGGCCTACTGAAAACTAAGACACTAAGCAGACTGGGGCTGATCAGGTGTTGCCACATTCATCAGGTTTATTTATTGATTCAGTATTATACCTGTATTCTCATATGTTTGGCCTCTTATGGTTTATGATTCATCAAGATTAATGTAACATCTTCAGTAATAGAGAAAAAAATACAGGCTATTTACTCAAGATGCGTTAGGTGTGAGAGCTTTCAGTAGACCAGCTTACAACAGGGGTCCCTATAACACACTTTTAGTATTTGGTATGAAGATACCTTCTTAAAACCATTATTAACTACCTTTAAGTGTTATGTGATGACTCAATTTGGCTACTTGTACTAACGCCCGTATTATTAAACAACATCTTCCCTTGAAGAGAGTCGTCGTGCTTCAACCCGAGTTTTAAACTAAATGAGTCCTGAGGGACACATGATACAGTACTTAACGGGTTGGTGTGGCAGTAAAATTGACTAATTCCAATAAAATTTATTTATAATATTGGAATTAGTTAATTTTACCACCACACCAACCGTTAATACTATATGTGTCCTAGCTCATTAGTTAAAACTCGGTTAACGACCCTCTTCAAGGAAGATATTTATCTAGACAAATGATTAATGAATAAACCAGGGTATATGCCGATACATAATACTTTACACTACAGTATTACTTGCAGTGATGAGAAATACAATGCAATAGTATTTATTAAGTGATGATAATACACAACTGTACTGTACTAATTTACTAAGTGGGGAAGACAGACATTGTGGTAAGCCAGTCAGCTGTTTGCTCTTTGTAAACAAATATGTCAGTTCAGTGTGGGATTCTTTTTTCAGGAAAGCTGATTCTTTTAGGATAATATTTAATCATCCTGGCACCAAATTATCCTAAATTATATGAGAATTATGATGAAAATGCATAAAGAAGTGTTAAAGGAATTGTTGGGGTTGGGAGCCACCCACTTGCCCCCCCCTCCAGCTGCTCCCAGATAAACACTTTTCTTCCACATACAATATACTCCTGCACTTATTTGTTCCTATTTTTATCATTATAGTACTGTACAGTATACAGTTTTATCTTTATTCATAAGACAAATTCTGTGGTTACTTACAAAAATACTTATACAGTAAATAACAATCATCTCAGTGACAACTAGACTTAGTCTGTAACCAAGGTTCAAATATGACAGAAATGATTACAGCAGGGTGAGGGAGAAAACAAGGAGCTCCGATTGGCTGACCTAGCTTGTTCAACCATAAGGATGTGGATTGTTCCTGAAGAATCATTGAAACTAAAGTGAAATATTTGAGGGAAATATATGACCAAGACCATGCATTAGAGTTATAACCAAGACCATGCCCGACAGTTATAACCAAGATCTATGTCTGGAGGAAGCGGCGTAACTAAGACCATGCCTCGAGAGTTATAACCAAGACCATGCCCGAGAGTAACTAAGACCATGCCCGAGAGTTATAAATCCAAGATCAAGTTCGAGAGTTATAAATCCGACCATGCCCGAGAGTTATTATAACCAAGACCATGCCCAGAAAGTTATAACTAAAGACTATGCCTGAGAGAGTTATAACCAAGACCATGCCCGAGAGTTATAACCAAAGACCATGCCCGATAGTTAAACGCTAAGACCATGCCCGACAGTTATAACCAAGCACTATGCCCTGACAGTTATAACTAAGACTATGCCCGACAGTTATAACCAAGACTATGCCCGATAGTTATAACTAAGACCATGCCCGACAGTTATAACCAAGACCAGTCTTTACAGTTATAAATCCAAGACTATGCCCGATAGTTATAACTAAGACGCCCGATAGTTATAACTAAGACTATGCCCCATAGTTATAACCAAGACTATGTGCCCGATAGTTATACCCAAGACCATGCCCGATAAAGTTATAAATCCACATTCATGCCCGATAGCAACTAAGACCATGCCCGATAGTTATATAACCAAGACCATGCTCCGACAGTTATAACCAAGACCATGCCCGACAGGTATAAACGGCGACTATGCCCGATAGTTATAACTAAGACTATGCCTAAGAGTTATAACCAAGACTATGCCCGACAGTTAGTAACTAAGACTATGCCCGATAGTTATAACTAAGACCATGCCCATGAAGCGGTAACCAAGACCATGCCCAATAGTTACAAATCCAAGACCATGCCCGACAGTTATAACCAAGACCATGCCTGAGTTAAAACCAAGACCATGCCCAAGAGTTATAAACTAAGACATGCCCGGGATAGTTATAACCAAGACCATGCCCGACAGTTATAACTAAGACCATGCTCATAGTTACAACTAAGACCATGCCCGACAGTTGGTAACTAAGATTATGTCTGATACAGTTAGTAACCAAGACCATGCCCGACAGTTATAACCAGATTATGCCCGACAGTTATAACTAAGACCATGCCCAACAGTTATAAATCCAAGACTATGTCTGGCCAGTTATAACCAAGACTATGCCCCATAGTTATAAACTCAAGACCATGTCTGATATGACCAAGACCATGCCCATAGTTATGACCAAAGATCATGCCTTAGAGTTATAACCAAGACCATGCCCGATAGTTATAAATCTCAAGACCATGCCCCGAGAGTTATAACCACACTTCATGCCCGAGGAGTTATAACTAAGACCATGCCCGAAAGTTATAACCAAGACCATGCCCGAGTTATAAATCCAAGACCATGTCTTATACAGCGCAACCAAGACCATGCCCGAGAATTATAAACCATGACTATGCCCGAGAGTTAAAACCAACATCTGATGCTCAAGAGTTATAACTGGCATTCATGCCTGAAAGGCGAATCCAAGACCATGCCCGAGAGTTAAAACCCGCACTATGCCCAAGAGTTATAACCAAGACTATGCCCGAGAGTTATAAATCACAAGACCATGCCCGAGAGTTAAAAACCAAGACCGCGCCCAAGAGTTATAACCAAGACCATGCCCGACAGTTGTAACCAAGACCATGCCCGAGAGTTAAAAACCAAGACCATGCCCGACAAGCCAGTAACTAAGACCAGCGCGCCCGATAGTTATAACCAAGACTATGCCCGACAGTTATAACTAAGACCATGCCTAAGAGTTATAAATTCAAGACCATGCCCGAGTTAAAACCAAGACTATGCCTAAGAGTTATAACTAAGACTATGCCCGAGCAGTTATAACCAAGACTATGCCCGAGAGTTAAAAAACCAAGACTATGCCCGAGAGTTATAACTAAGACTATGCCCGAGAGTTAAAACCAAGACTATGCCCGACAGTTATAACCAAGACCATGCCTGAGAGTTAAAACCAAGACCATGCCCCATAGTTATAACCAAGACCATGCCTGAGAGTTATAACCAAGACTATGCCCAGAGTTAAAACTAAGACTATGCCCAAGAGTTATAACCAAGACTATGCCCGAGCAGTTATAACCGCTAAGACCATGCCCGATAGTTATAACCAAGACCATGCCCGAAAGTTAAAACCAAGACTATGCCCAAGAGTTATAACCAGACCATGCCCGAGAGTTAAAAAACCAAGACCATGCCCGAGAGTTATAACCTGAATTGCCCGACAGTTATGTCCAAGACCATGCCTTGAGTTAAAAACCGGAAAGACTACGCCCAAGAGTTATAACCAAGACCATGCCTGAGAGTTATAACCAAGACCATGCCTGAGAGTTATAACCAAGACTATGCCCGACAGTTATAACTAAGACCATGCCCGACAGTTATAACCAAGACTATGTGCCCGCCAGAGAGTTATAACCAAGACCATCCGAGTTATAACCAAGACTATGCCCTGAGAGTTATAACTAAGACCTGCCCGGTAACTTCAAGACCATGCCCAGAGTTATAACTAAGACCATGCCTCCGAGAGTTATAAACTACACGCTCATGAGGAGTTAAAACCAAGACCATGCCCGACAGTTATAAACTAAGACCATGCCCGAGAGTTATAAATCCAAGACCATGCCCGAGAGTTAAAACCAAGACCATGCCCGAGAGTTAAACCAAGACCATGCCTGAGAGTTATAACTAAGACCATGCCCGAGAGTTATAACTAAGACCATGCCCGAGAGTTTAAACCAAGACCATGCCCGAGAGTTATAACCAAGACTATGCCTGTAGGAGTTATAACCAAGACCTTCATGCCCGATGCAGTTATAACCAAGACCATGCCCGACAGTTATAACCAAGACCTGGCGCCCGATACAGGTAACTAAGACCATGCCTGAGAGTTATAACCAAGACCATGCCCGAGAGTTATAACTAAGACTATGCCCGACAGTTATAATCAGCACTATGCCCGACAAGAGGTAACTAAGACCATGCCCGAGTTATAACCACATTACGCCCAGAAGTTATAACCAAAGACTATGCCCGAGAGTTATAAACGCTAAGACCATGCCCAGAGCACCCAAGACCATGCCCGAGCAGTTATAACCAAGACCATGCCCGACAGCGTTCCGCAAGACTATGCCCGAGAGTTGCAACCAAGACCATGCCCGGTATTATAACCAAGACCATGCCCGAGAGTTAAAACCAAGACTATGCCTGAGAGCGGCAACCAAGACCATG